CAAACTTTTTCCTACAGGAAATTTTCCGCTTTAACACCCCCAACAGTCGGCGAAACTTTGAGGGCCAATCCACCTTGAGAGCAAGGGACCCAAACATAACCTCACGCAGGACCAACAACCGACCGCTCGCGCAACCAAAGGCACCCACGCCCCGCCAAAATAACGTTAAGGCTCTTACCCGAGAGAGGTAGCGGTTCAGTCTTGCGGCGAAGTCTCCGCCCATGCAGTTGTCGAGCGCGATGTCGATGTCCATCTTGTTGACCTTAGACAGGTGCCGCTGGTGGAACCCTTGCTCTTGCCCCACCAGCTTATCCCGCACCCAGCCCCCGGCCACACGGAGCGTGGTCCCCATCTCCTCCTTCTCCACCATCTGTGTGCCCCCCCCCCCCGGACACGCCACGTTTTATCACCCAGGGTACACGGCAGGCAGTGTGCGAGAAAAAAGAAGAAAAAAAACACTCGGCGTTTGGTGGGTGTGCGAAATACCCATGGTATTTAGGTATTCATTCTCTGAGTACAGCAGCACCCGCGACATTTTCCTGTTTGCTGCCCGACACAGGACGGTGGCGCCTGCTGGTATTGACCCGTGGATGTGGAATTATAGAAGCACATCACAGAACTTTCCTCCAAGAAAAGCTCTCGTCGTTGCTTGTAAAAAAGACGGAAGCGCGCAGTGCTGAGTGGTAGTGCACAGAGCTCCCGGCAGCTTCGAGCTTTTTTTTTTCTCGCACACTACCTGCCGTGTGCCCTGGGTGCTATAAACGCGGGGGGGGGGGGGCATAGATGTTGAGTAGAAGGGGCAATAACCAAACCTTGCACCATCGGTTTGCTTGGCAACTGTCCTACATATGCTCGCCTCCAGACCGTGCCAGCCTCATGACTACTACACGGCTACACGGCGTCATGTGCTGCCGTGAGGTGTACGAGCTGTACCGATCTCACCTCCAGCAGCGTTTTGAAGAGCTTGTCCTCCTCCTTCGTGAGTTTTATCTTGATGTCGTTTCGCAAGTGCCCGTTCGGGCTCCTCGCTACGGGCAGCAAGTCCGGCTCCTGAGGATGCTGAGGGCTGACAACGCCATGGAATCAAAAGAGCCAGGGGGGGAAACAAGAAGTAGTACGTAACGACGGCAAGGGAACTGCTGTGCCATACAACCGTTGGGTGGGAGCTACGAAAGTCTGCCGAACTTATAGTACACGCGAGAGGAACGATCCACCTGATTCGGTGCTCTATTACTTCTTCTCTTGAAAATAAAAATCTCTCGAGCCGTATTTCCCGCGCCCGCGCCCGCGCCCGAGCCCCCGAAAAACGATGCCGACGCGGCGTACCACGTGAAAACACGGACAGGGATAACTAGAAAAGGCTTCACTATAAAAAATCCCGCCGCCAGATGTTCTGCGGCGCGTGGCCAGAGGCGCCACGCTTGTGCGAATCCCCCCGTGTACCTGAATGTCGAGCTGTGGCGGTCGAGAGTCGACAGTGGGGGCGCGTTTTGGGTGGGCAGGCTCAACGGCGTGCGCTGAGACCCGCGCACGCCGGCGGCGGGCCTGTGCATGCCGTGCCGCCACCGCGCCGTGACCAACCTGTGCCCGTTCCTCTCCAGCAGGGCCCCGACCAGCAACACGCGCCTTGGATCTCTCACTCTTGGCCGCGCCACCGACACCAAGAAAGCGCTTGGAGGGGCAAAGAAGCGGGGGTGGGGGCGCGTAGGGGGGGATTGTGTAAGATGCATGTATCACCTGCGTGCAAATGGGTGTGGGAGAGGCGTTGGTCTTCTCCAACAGGTCCAAGATCAGTCTTGCTCGCACGCGTTGGTCTCGACAGAATCGCTGACCGTGTCACTGTTGCCGCAGTTGCGGTACGGATACCCATCCTGCAGTTGCGGATTTCCGCAGAGGCGCCGCCGCTGCGGAAATTCGCAAGCGCCTCTGCGGAAGCCCGCAACCGCAGGATGGGTATCCGCAACCATTGCCGACACCCGTTCCGTCACTTCGGAAGTAACACGGTCGGCATTCCTGCCCAGACTGCTGTTCTCAATGAGCGCGCGAGACCAATCTTTGGACGATGCCGTGCCAGCAGTGCTGCAATCAACTCCGTGAATCCAACCGTGGCGGAAGCCGCGCTGGCTGACACGGCGGATCTCCTCTATATCGTTGGAGCGCCCCCTCCGCTGGAGGAGGTTCTGGCTTGCTCGTCGTGGCAGCTGCCGCAGCTACAGCGGTTTGCTGCATCGTCGCGTCGGATGCCGCTGCATCTCGCAAACCGCTCTTGAGACTTCGTAGTCTCTCATGAACAACGTAGTCCGAGAGGAACGCGTATTGTAACGCAAATGTGTAAGACCAGTTACTTCCCCTGGCAGCCATCGTTTGCACGTGCCAGCAGGCTTACTCTGCTCACTGACCGAGTGGCAGAAGAAGGTCAGGAGATCCCGCAATACAACATGTTTTCAATCCTCATTGGTCAATGGAGCAACTAATTCTTCCGCCTGCTGCAAAACACGCATTTATTTGCCCTGTGGACAATACGTGAGCGTATGGGAGGCATTCCCCGATGTTGGTTGGTTCGAGGGGGGCGCGCCTTTGGTCAAGCGGTTCACCTTCGCGAGATTAACAAGTCTATGGGGAAATAGAACAGGTGATTGGGATAGGCAGCACCGCCGGGCACGCGAACGCGGCGTGACCGCGTGACAACAGCAACACCACAAAACATGCCGCATTTTCAGCTTGGCATGGTTGGGCCAGCCAGTGCCGTCGGCCTTCGGCGAGCATTAAAATTGAACAGCAGCAATAGACGGTTCGGTTCAGGTTTTAAGAGAGGGTCCCGGGGGATCTGTCTAAAACGCATGCATACATCTGTATCAACAGCGGGGCATAACTAAGGGTTGCTGCTGCGGGCGAGAAGACAGCTTTCCGATTTTGGAAGTGGCTGCTGTTAAGGTGACTCGTTATGCAAAGTGACAAAACAAAATGCGCATGATTGGCTGCAGGAATTTCGATTTTCTTCGTGCGCGCGAATACTTCACTGCTGCACTCTTCTGCACACCGTGTCGTGCGAATCATATTGCAAGTGTGCAAACAAACGAGAGATCTTCTTTGACACGTCAAACCGTACAGGAGCTCGAAGAAAGGGGCGTTCAAGTGTGCATGTGAAGAACACAGCGGGAGCATCATTTCAACTGATATGTAGGCAGCTCGCGCGCTCCTGCTTGCTGCTTCATCTTGCACAACGGGGTCTCCCATGACACGACACAGCAGCACCGACCGCGCACATCAACATCCCCGCAGACTAGCTTGCGACGCATATATACTTGCGTGACAAGCACCAGCTACAAGTTAGTGTGTAGGCGCTACCAGCAACAATCAACAAGCGGTGCATCTCCTGTGTAGATCCGAAAAGCAGCCAAGCCTGATTGAAGTGAAAAATCGCAACAACAAGCGCGTTTCCCATTCGCAAGAAAACAGTACAGGCGAGGAATGGTCGTCTACGCTACGCATCCCCAAATATTTTCGCCTACGCACGCCAAGAACCTCTTGCAAACGTGCCGCAGCAGCAGCCGTGGTAGGAGAGTGCTCACCTGCGCGTCTGAAAGCCCCTCCCTCTCACGACGCACAGCATCGCCAGCACAAGCGAAGCAGCGTTCACGCGTCGCCTTTTCATTCAAACGCCGAGTTCTAAATGGCCGCTCCGGCCGCAGCAATGCTTGTGAACCCTCCTAACCCACTAGTTCTCTCTCTGACCTCACACAGAAACGCAGCGTCCCCCCTCTCGGCGTTAGTCGAGTGTATCCTCCTTATCGCACGCGGCGCCTTGTCTGCGCTGGCACCAGGAAGGCGTTTTTCCAACAGGGGGAACGGTTTACAATCGTCCCCCCCCCTTCGGCAAAAATATATGTCGCCGGCCCATCGTTTGTCCGTGCCCTGTGTGTACCCTTCATGTGAGGTGATTGCCGTTAGACGTTCTCGCCTGCTGTCGTTGTCTATTGTTGTCTGTCCGGCAATACACAACGTACGACAGTAGTGAGAATGGTGTTTTTCATTTTTCAACCAATCTCCTTTAGCACTATCTTATCCTTATCATGAACGGCAAAAGTTATACGCACCCATGGGTACGCACATAAACCATGCACCTATGCCTTCGTTAGACCGAAAACACCACCGCAGACGAAAAAAAGGCCGAATGGTTGCAAGGAGCGAACCTGTCCTACCCGTCGGGGCCATTTTATTTGAGTTTACCTTTTCAGGTTAAGTTAGCCTGCGACCACGGGAATCGACCGCGTCGAGTGTTGTATCAGTACGGACATACGAAGGTACTGGGTAGAGAGAGATCGGAACGGTTTTTAATGTGAAGACAACAACAACAACAATTATCTTGCACGCGCCAGATGTACCCCTTCAACCAGCGACCAATTGTTTTTCGATTAAACATTATTTTTGGATTAGTTATAAACCCTGGATGCTCTGCTTTGGCAAGGGCACGAAACCGCCTAAAAACAAACCCTAACGCCAACCCTAACCCCAAACCCTCCCGAAAGGTGCTAGGTTGGCGCTGGGTGGCTCAGTTCTAGTTTGTTGTGCCTGCCTTAGGGCTAGGTTGGTGTTGACGGGGAAAACTCTGTAGGTTGTTGCTGCTTGTAGGTGCTAGATTGGCGTTGATGGAATTAACCTAGGATGATATTGCCTGGACAGGTGCTAGGTTGGTCCTGACGTGGCTAGGTGCTAGGTTGGTGGGCTTTGGAGTAGGGCTAGGTCGCTCTTGGGTGGTAAACGGTGTTCGTGCAGGTCTGCATAGGCGGGACAGTCAAGTTATGGGTGCATGGCTTGTGTGCGCACCCGTGGGTGCATATAATTTTTTCCCTGAGCTAGGAACGGGGAATGCTCATGTACTGCTGTAGAGGTACATAGTCTAGCCCTCTTTGCTTCGCTCGCAAGTGTACAAGGGCACCTACCGCTGTTTTCCTCCTCCGCCCCAGCAAAAATATATCGTATTCAATAGAAACTTACGATAGGATTATTGGGTACAGTATCCAACAAAATAGTAGTTCGAGTAGAACAAGTGATTACTTCATGTCGATCAATCGCCGCACGGATTGGACAATGTTGGATGTGTAGCCTCTGCACACAAAAGGAACGGGTTATATGCACAGCAAGCATACACCATAAAAAAATGCAATGGAATGCCCCCCCCTCGCAGCTGCATACTGTAGGCGGTAAATTCACACACAAGATCCTCAAAACTTTGAGGATTGAGGATCAATCCTGGCCGGATGGCTGTTATATTTATTCTTGGAACTCCAACTATAGTAGCGCATAACGCACACACAACAGATTCAACGCTTTTTTGTGCTCCCGAGTCCCTTCCGCATCCCGACTTTTCCCCGCCCTACGATAGTCTGATGCACGGTAGATCCCCACGGAAATACGGAACCCCACACCAAGCTTGCCCATTCCACGTGACCTCGCGGTACTTCTTGTCTACTCTACGACGGCTTCGGTTTTTTATCCCAGACGGCAACCCCCTCCAGTCAACACGCCAGGAACAGGTTGTATGCACGTTTACCGCCGACTTTTTATGCCACCTTTCACACGTTACGAGTTGTCACCAACCAATATACAATATTTCTGCATCGAGCAGACCACAGCCCTACCACACTATTCCTTCCTACCCACCAAAATCAAATGAGGCAGCAACTAGCACCGCTGTCTACGATCGCTTCGTGAGCCTCGCCCTTCCCCGTCCAGGTCTGCTAGGCCGAGCTACCGCGGGCACCGGGGGGCTTATGGTGGTGCCCTCCCCCCCCACTCCCCCCTCCCTCCCCGCAGCGTGCTCCTTGCTTCCACGAACAGCGTGTGCGACCGCCTCGTCTATTTCGTTGGCAGCGCGAATCTCCACCTGGCAGATCAACGGGGGATGGGAACGTGCGTGGTTTGCTCGTTGTCTACAATGTAGGTGCATGACTTTATTGGATTGTAAAAAGGAGCATTTCCGAAGTGCTCTGGAACACAACGCACTTATAGTAGCCAAGCGAACCTTGGCCAAAAACTGAACATGCTTGGTTTGCAGCTTAGGTATAGGCAGGTGTTGAAAAACAATGGGGATATTTTGCCCAAACAACTGATCGGGCAAAACCTAAGCATCCAACCAGCTCTCCGATCGTGAGGGGAAACACATCGCGCTATAAATAGGCAGTCAGACAAAGAGAGTGAGAGATGCTGTAGAGAGAGGAGTGAGACAGAGCGCAGCGCCAAGAATAGCGCATAACTGCGATTGCCCCCATTGTCGTTCTCCAAGTAAACGTCGTCAACGCCTGCACCGCAAACCGAACTTTAGTCTCGCACTCGAGCCGAACATGCCTGACTGTCATATCACAGATAACCAAATCGCGACCCTCAGCTCTGTGCAGCCAGATAACCTACAGTTATAGGTAGTCTAGACCAAAAGACCAAACAAACAAACCTGTGCCGAGTACCTTTAGCTATTTATGCTCCTCGCAATGATTCTCTGTGGACTAGTCGTCGATGTTTGTTCATACATCGTCAAAATTCGACCGACGCGGCGCGAAACCCAACGGACAATCAAACGGAACATTAACATACGGGTATCGAAATTCACGCTAGGAAACAATTTAGGAGGTGGGCACATGGAGACAAAAGACACACCATGTGGTCGACAGCAAAAGGCCACGATAAGGAAACCATCTAGAAGGGAGGAGGCACATGGAGATAACTCTAACACTCACCATGTGGTCCACGGTGACGCCTGCTTCTGCGGCAGCGGCAACGACGCTGGCCTTGCTGGAAGAATATGTCATCTTCAACCTCACCGCAGACTCTTCCGGGCAACTGTACACCAGGACTGACCATATTTGGCGGATTGGAAGCACGACGCGGCGTTCGGACGATAACGGTACGCGATACGACAGAGCAGGGGGGTGCGACGCAGAGAGAGAGAGAGGCAGCAATTGATCTCAGCGTGGCCCCCTTGATAACCGCAGACCGAGTTTGGGGATACTGTTACGGCATGGGGCTCGCAACACGAGACAGCGAAACGCATGATGGAGGCAAAACCTGCTATAGGAGGCAATTTGGGACCTTCTGTGCGTGCCGGCTTTCGCGCAACTAGGCGCAGAAAAAGACGGGCATCCATACGTAACACTATCGCCAGAGCTCCACTTGCTCTAGGGTGCACCCCTCTCCAATTCGTCGGAAAATATTTTTCCCGCAGAATTATAGTGGTGATCTGTGACGACAAACCATTTCACCCCCCCCCACCCCCGGTCCCCCTCCCCGGTGTTTGCCATCGGGATTGGGTTTTCGTCGCTTGGCAAAGACGTTGTAAAACAAGCCAATTCACTTCGTGAACTCGGCAACCAGGTTACCGCTTCTTCTTTTACCTCTGTTGTTTTTGGCGGTACCATAATGGTGGTCGAGTAGATCATGTTGTGCGGGGTGGAGAACCCTCACTCCGCGCAAGGGGGATGATCGCACCACGTTGTGTTGAAATAGTCAAGCACCCTCGAGGCAGTTACACAGTGCTCACAGCTGTCTCTGGAAGTGAAAGCACCAGAAAGTAAACTAAGTCATACGCAGCTGTCATCCGTACGCAAGGAAGTAAGCACAAGNATGCGGCTCCGAGTGCAAAGACCGGTTTCATGACGTTGCGAAACGTCTGTGTTGAGCGACAAGGGTAGAGACATGTACATGGCTGAGTTGGACACGTAGAAGGAAAAGTACACAGGGATATGCTTGAGGCATGGAATAGCCAGGAGAAGACGGTAGCTGTACTGGGGCATAGCAAGTGGGTTGAAAGGCGGGACGTGGTATCGAGATAGACTAGGGGACACATATTGAGCCACCTTTGGCAAAGTACCAGGAGGGGACGATTGGCCATCGGTGATCAGTCCTGTGGGAACAATGCTCCGTCCTCTCGAGGACGCGTGGTCAATGGTCTAACCGCTAATAGCATGCAAGACATCAGATTACGCCTCCCCCCACCCCCGGTCCCCCGAAACACGCCACCCGCCCGAAAGGAGTGCCTCTTACATTTCGAGTGATCCCGACGCAGGAGAATAAACCGTGGCTCCTCCTGCCGAAAACAGCGAAGGAGGCGAAAAAGAGAGAAGGGGGAGGGAAGGAGGAAGGTCGGAGATAGGTTCGTCAAGATGTCGCCTCCGGGCCTGCATGTCAGTGCGGTTGTGGTATAAGCTCGACACTAGTTGGAGCAACCGCTGGAGCAACCAGGTGCAATGCTGTGGTAACAGGAGAGGAAGAAGTCAGATCAGTTGGCGACACATGGAGGCTACAGGGGGGAGCTTGGGCACACGCGACTGAGAACGTGCAAAGGAGGGGGTGAGGCGTATCGTACGCTACTATACCTCGTCAATCAACTCTTCCAGATCGGCGACCTCGGCGATGGTCTTGGCACCCACGAGAGCAATTTCCTCGCCATCCATGCGCTGAATCGCATCGCATCCCACCAAGCAGAGAGCCGACGGACCACATCGACACACGGTTAATCATAATTCGCACATTCATAGCACCATTTGCCGATTTCAGTACACGGTGCGTTGCACCGCCGCGCACAGCATCACTAATCACTTCCATCAGCAGGCGCGAAGCGGGGGTGCTGCTCGTGTCTGTGCGTCCCCAAAGCACTGTATTGCATTCTAGGCAAAACAGAACACGCAGTACTTGGAGCGAACGCGTTCATTCCCAGAAAACGGCGAAAACAAAAGACACTATGCGCCGCACTACTATGCACGTAGATCCCGAACGTCAGAAGAGCATGTGACTCGAGCCCTTGTACAGCGCCCGACAAATATCATTTTTTCTCAAGGCACCCATTGCCAATCGTAAAAGCACAAGGAACGCCTGACACACGACTAACAAAAAGTTGGGCTGAGGTGAGAGCCTACTGGAACCTCGCACTGCAGTGGCAAAACGTACAGCGAATGCCGTAGAGACAACCCAGCGTCGCATCAACCGAGCCCGCCCGATGGTAGCAGCAGCAGCAGCAACAGCGTGACGACACTATACAGCTCGAATCACGGACAACGTACCATCTCAATCCAATCCACGTCACCTCCGCCAGAGCCGAACGTTTGGAGCTGCGCCCTAAGGTCGCCCTTGACCTTGAACGGAATCACCCCCATCGCGGCCGACTTCATGCCCGCATCACTCGCCCTCTCCTGCTTGTTGAGATCTCGCTTCAGCAGCCTGCGCGAAACGCATGGTAGAAAAGCAAGCACAGCCACAGAGAAGGTTCATGAGACACTCCAACATCCCGGCCGAGCCAGGAGCAACCGACAAGAAAAAAATGGCGGAAGCCCCCCCCCCCCCCAGCCGAGCTCATGAAATAGTACGTATATATTTATGCAAGTGCATGCACAAGGAAGTCAGTGTTCCCAGCACTAACTAGTCTACAACGATTGGCATCGTGAAACAATTTCTGCCGCTCTTCTACAATCCTGTGCACGTCGGAGCAGAGCGGGATGAGAATCACGCCACGCAGCAACCACACGACCAGGCCAAAAAGCAGTAGAATGTTCGCTCACGACGGATCCTTCAGGCGGCGAACGAGCTTGCTCGTAGACAAGGCGAGGAGACGCGTTTGGGACGGCCTCTGCCGAAACAAGCGGGAGCCGCAAGTAAGGATAAACACGAACGCGTGTGTGGCTATCTTACTGCTTGGTCAGGATTCCGAAGCCAGGTGCCACAACAAAACAAGAAAACAAAACTCAATCCGATCGGTTTCCCATTAACACAACGGTCTAGTCACGACGCAATAACAATAATTCACCCCACCTGTTTCAAACAAGGTGGAAAGGGGAGGCTAAACGATTGACTCGTGCGCAACTTTCAGGCTCCAGAATTCGCTCAAAGGGTATTTGAAACTACGGCGGGGGGGGGGGGGTAAGGGCGGAATTCGCTCTCAAGGGAGTTTGAAACTATGGCGGGGGGGGGGGGGGGTGAGGGGGGTTGTCTTCTCACTCTGCCTCGCTTAGCAACTGGTCGCCGCTGCCGGCACGCCTGCTCGCCACCAAGCTCTCGAAGGTCAGGTCGCTTGGGACATTGGCGTAGTACTCCCCCTCGAAGAACCCGAGACCGAGGCCCTGGCGAACGTCCTGCTTCGACGTCGAGTAGATCATCTTCTCCCGCACCTGCGGTTGCACCGCCCGGGGGGGGGGCGTACTCTTGAATTTTGCATGCCTTGGCGGTTAGACTATTGACCACGCGTCCTCGAGAGGACGGAGCGTTGTTCAGGACCGATCACCGATGGCCAATCGTTCCTTCCTGCTTTGCCAAACCCCCCGCAGGGAGGGGGGGCGTACTCATATCTTGCATGACGCGGACGCCTTTCGTGGTCATAGGCTACTGTAACTACCCAACGTCAAAGCGTAATAATGACAGCGGTTCTACCATCGACCGCGCGTACTCGAGACGACGGAGCATTTTTCCCACCGGGCCGATCACAGATGGCCAATCGTTATTTCATGATACTCGGCCAAAGGTGGTGCGCCGTAAGGGGACCAAAACAAAGGTGCATCCGGCACGGTACACGCATCCCGTACCACGAAAGCCGTCCCGGTGAGCATGTGGAGCATGTTCTACAAGGAGCCCATCCCCTTTCCTCGGAATTCATGCGTGGCACAAACAAGAACATTGCAAAAGCGGCGTGCCGTGCGCGCATGTATTGCGCGGTAAAGCAATGCAGAGTTCTGAGATATGCCGTTGGAGGTGGTTGGGGCTTGGGTAGTTCGATGAGAATTGGCCCGGATTGCGTGCCGCAGACGTCTGCTGCGACGGGACCACGCGCGGCATCTTGAGACAACCCGGACCCTATGTTTGTTGTTGCTTGGGCTCATCCTGAGGAGGAAACGCATCGATACGGATCGGCTTGATAGGCAAGAAACGCTCATCACGGTCGCAGCAACACCCGCACAAAAAATCAGCCAGCTATTCTACAACCCACTGGGCAACGACGAAGGCAGCACGCAGGCAACAGGTAGCAAGGCTTTCCCTTAAAATACGACGTAAGGGGGGATGGACGGGTTTCAAATCAGGCCTCCTCCTGACGCATAAATCTCCAGCAGCACGACAAAACCATTTTTTTTGTTTTGTCAACACTTCCAATCAGCGTTGTGGCACCAAGCCTACAAAAAAAAAAAAAACAAGGGTGATTGTGATTTACTCGCCTTGGAATCATCGGGGATCCACGCTACCAGCAGCCACAGCCGTGCCGCCCCTCCTGCTGCGCCCCCGCGTCCCGTGATCGACTTCAATTCGTCGCCGTCCAACGCCACCAAGAACAGACAGGGTGTTGCCTCGACCACTTCCTGATGCACGATTCAACGAGGACAGATGTGCACATCAGTGGGTGCCCCTCAAACAACGCCGGCTGATTGCTGCCGGTGGCCGTGTACAGATGCGGCCCGGAGACAAGAAAACATCAAAATCGGGTCGAGCCTCAATTTCTTATTCTGGGCAGAAGGACCAGCCCATGTCGGCCAACTTCTTAAAGACGGGTTTCTTTTTCCTTTGCGCTGTCGGGCTGTCGCATCCGGCTGATTCTCTTATTTTCTTATTTCTAATGGTGAAGAAAACAACACAAAGCCTTCATGCAGCACTAAACCGAACGCTTCATGTGGCGAGCATTGGGGGTTGCGGCAGTGTAGATGATCGGCAGCAGTGGGTAGCGCAGCCCGCGGCGGCGCTGGGGCGCAGGGGGCGCCGCGAAAATAACCACTTTCTGCCCCTTCCAAAAAATTACCGAATATGACACAAGACAAAACACCCCCTCGACCAATTTTCGAAGCTCGATTTCTCAACTGCAGGAACAGTCACAGCGCCGAAAACAGCGGCGTTGAAACCGTCTCCTCGAGAGCTTTTCGAAAATGTATCGTTTCGTTTATGCATCCTCTTCGTCGTGGAGTAATCGAGCTTTGAAAATCGGTCCAGGGTGTGTGTTATCTTGTGTCATGTACGGTGCTGCTAGGTAGGGGGTGGGAGCATGGCAGCAGCAGCAGCAGTGGGACGTTTCTTAGGACGCGTTCCCCCAGCTTCTACCCCTTGTTTCTTTTGTCTTGGGGTAACGCACGATCATGCTTCACGTTTCTCATGTTGTAGGCGAGATTGAGCTGCGTTTCTTAGGCCTTTTTTCATATTCTCCGTAACAAATTGAGACATTTCCTAACATAATTTTCCTCAACTGCGCGCCCCATCCGCACATGCAGCGCCGGTAAAATTGATTGCTGGGCACAGACTGAATCAACAAGTCATTCTGTGCATCGCTTAGTGTCAAGGGATCAATCGCGGAAGTAGGCCCACGAAGAAGCATTCGCACCACGTCTACACGGAGAAGAAATCAATGAGATGGAAGAGCCGACATATCCCAGCGATCACGGGCCCATGATAGCTGGATGTGTGGGCTCTTCCTTGAAATCAATGAGATGCAAGAGCCGACATATCCCAGCGATCACGGGCCCATGATAGCTGGATGTGTGGGCTCTTCCTTGAAATCAATGAGATGCAAGAGCCGACATATCCCAGCGATCACGGGCCCATGATAGCTGGATGTGTGGGCTCTTCCTTGAAATCAATGAGATGCAAGAGCCGACATATCCCAGCGATCACGGGCCCATGATAGCTGGATGTGTGGGCTCTTCCTTGAAATCAATGAGATGCAAGAGCCGACATATCCCAGCGATCACGGGCCCATGATAGCTGGATGTGTGGGCTCTTCCATCCCATTAATTCTTCTCAGTATAGACGTCGTGCGAATGCTTCGCCGTGGGTTTCCTCCCTCGGTCGGTCCCTTGGAACTATGCGGTATGGTGGCTGTTTCTTTCCTGACAAGGCCAGTAGTACCCTCATCCCCCCTCTGGTGTTCCCACTCAACTTTCTTGCCCTTTCCAACCCCCAGGGGACGGAGAGCCATGATCGTGGACTGAGGGAGCTTCACCGTGCTCCCTTTCTTCACCTCACCCTGGTGTTTTTGCATCCGCCCACTGACTCGGAACAACTGCTACGGTGAAAGTGGCGCCTTGGGCAAAGATCCAGGCACAAACGACAGTCACGCTGGACAGCTGCCCGTTTCGCAACTCTCCTACTGCTGTGGTTCCGTCTGGAGGTATTCACCGGGCACAACTCCTTTTGTGTCCCTTCCTCACACCAGTCGTTCTCTTCATTACTCTGGGTCCTTTGCCTCAGAAACGTGACCAGCGAGCGGTCTTTCCCGCTATTTTCCTTCCTGTCTCCTTGATCTCCTTCGCTCTTCGAGAACCGGTTTTTCATCCCCTCGTCATGTCCACCTTCAGCGTCTAGAACTACGCTTTATCCCTACTTGAAGAGTTTGTTCTTCTTGTCTCCCTCCCTCCTCGACCCTGCTGCGTCACACTACGCGTAGTCACCCTAGAGGTGCCGTCATGAATCCTCGATGAGCCATTCCCCTTTCCCTAACCCCCCTCCGATCCTTGCTTGCCCGTATGACGGACAACCCCACAGAGCAAGAGGTAATACTAGAAACATTGGACGGGCTTGGAAACGTGCACTTGGGAACATGAGGTGAAATCGATACAATGTGGGGATATGTGGCGACGTGTTTGGCACATCAGCCCGAGCAAGCCACAGCTGAAAACGCTTTTGATCGAACGTTCCGGGTGCAAGAGAGCGATGGCACACAAAAGGGGAGAAAGGCAGGTAGCTACGTAAGGGCTACATGTACACAACATGCTGTGGTGTTACGGGGAGGCCTGACTCGTGCAGGGAGCCAATTTGCGACGGTGACGCAAGGGTAAGAGCTGGTGGATCAAGAGTTCAAGGGGACTATCAAAGTTGCTGGACATCGGGAAGCACACATCAATGTGGAGCTGAAGGAGAGCGCGCAAACGATGGATAAAGTGGTTCGAGAGCCGGGAATTCAGTCGAGACTTGAAATGCCCAGTTGATGACGTGTGGCAAGGAATGGTGAAGATTGATCTGAAGGGTTGTAATGAGCCGCGGAGCGCGAAGCGCGACATTTTTCCCTTCATCCCCAAGCGGGAAAAGAAAGCTCTAAATATCGGGCTCTTTCAACCATCGCGCTGTAGAGCGACCCTTCCGCAACCCCCCCCGGGGAATCGGACGTAAAAATATTATCCCTATCTTTGACGAGAACGAGGTGTATAGAGCAGCGATTTACGAGGTGCTGGGTTGTGAGGAGGAATCTAATTAGGGCACTTTCCATCACACCGGTGTAATCGCGGGCTGACAATAGATGGCCGTGCTTGACACGCATTTGCTACCAAAATCATCGAAACGTCCCCGAGAGTTCGACGAGAGGTTAAGGAACGCAAAAGCGGAGATAAGTACACACACCCACACGCAGTTAGACGCTCGGTTTCCAACCCGGGGACACAGAGGAAGTAATCAGTAGGCTAAACAAACACTCAACACCGCTGGGGGGGCAAGACCGCATTGACGAGGGAAGGGAGCCACATACACAGCTTGTGGCGGATGTCATCGCCACGGCTGTTGCTTTGGCGTGTGTGTGTGTGTGGGGGGGTGTACTCATAGTCGTGCATGCCGTAGTCGTTAGACCATTGACCTCGCATCCCTATAAAGCCGGGACGGAGCACGCCGGGTTCTCACCGGACCAGGCTCTCACATCATCAAGCGCGAAGCG